TCTCGCCCAAGAACACAACGCAATGTCCCTGGCCAGGGCTCGAACCCGGACAGCTCGATCCGGAGACGAGCGCACTACTGCATCTCCAGAGTGCATGGGGGAAAGCACCCCTAACCTTGCTAAGCTTGCTCCCAGGCCACCGATCAGGCTACAGATCAACCACATTACGTGATCAGGAGTTATATGTCACAAATATCAGTCCTACATTTGGAGTTATTAAAAGTCATATTGTATCTGTAGGGCCATATAACTTCATTTATTTAAGACTAAGAAATCTCAAGCTCTAATTGACTTCCTTTTTCTCTGAAAATTGAACGACCATATTTGTTTGGACAACGTAACAGTGACTTGATAAACTGTCCTAAATGATCCTACAAACGAAAATAATAGACTCTTTCATCATAAGCCTGCAATGCATACATCCAGTTGTCTTTTTTCTCTGGCAGTGTTCCCACAATAGGCCTTTACAGTTAGGGATCATGTGACACCCGTTTTTTCTTTTAAATAAAACACTTAACTATACAGTGAGAAATGGAAGAAGTCAGAGAAAAAAAGATGGCCTACTTTGATGTTTCTGGTATTCAAGGTAGAGATTAAATGCTTGAAAAACTTAGAAATACCACAGTAGATCTAACCTGTGACTTTTCCATACAAACCCTCTAAGTTTCTGTCTACAAAAGGTAAGCAAACCCTAGTGCAAGGGTTTCTCCAAGAGGTATCACAGCACTCACAAGTATACAAGGTGTTTACAAGGTTGCTAAGGTAACTGTTGGCACTAGGTTTTCATCCTTAGCATATTGAATTTAATTTACCTTCATCTGGTACTTTGGATGTGGCTTGCTGCAGTGTTCACGTTGGATGATCCTCCATTGACATGTGATCATGTGTCGTTTAAGAATTCTCCTTTGCACAGTGATGTCACAGTTTTCGTTTGTACAGGGAACAAGTACATAAGGGCAAGACGTCAATTGATCCTGTTACACCAATAAATCAACATTACTTCGGTTGAAAGTCACTGAGCACAATGTGTTTTAATGCATTTCCATTACGGTATACATCCATGGTATTTGAATACTAAAGAGGAAAACTTATTTTATAACCCGTTTTGTGGAAGGCGCGGTGGCCTCATGGTTAGTGCGTTCGTCTCTAGATCAAGCAGTCCGGGTTCGAGCCCTGGCCGGGGACATTATGTTGTGTTCTTGGGCAAGACACTTTACTCTCACACTGACTCCGTACCTCTCTCCACGCTACCGAAACCTGAGCTACTGGGAGCTGGTCACATTGCATTTCCATTACGGTATACTGAATATTTATTCATTACGGTATACTGAATATTTATTTCAGGCTTTATTTTCACACCTGTTTAAGTTCTGTACATAACTGGGACAGTCATTCATGTCTTATTACATTTTTCTCCACAGTTCAAATGTATGACCTTTCATATATTTACTTGCATGTTGATAACATTGTTGTGAGAGTCCTGTAATTGCAGTTTAAATACATGTGATGCATTTCATTTAACAACAATTTTTTTTTCTTTGGCTTTGGGAGCTGGATCACTGGTTAGTCTGCAATTAAGGGGACACTTCAACAGCTGTGAGTAGTTCTGATGGTGTCCACAGTACACATATGTACCTGTTTGTTCCTCAGTTCACCAGTCTA